TCTGCCGCCATTCCTAATTTTGAACTGCCGGCCAGAGGGAAGGCGATCGACCAGCAGCAACCACCGCCAACTCTTGGGTTACCCTTTTACCACCGAATACTGGAGTTGATCTTCACATTACAAAGCCCCCACGGCTATAAATGGCGAGCATGATCGGCAACGGGTTTCGATCCCGTTACCTACGAATTGCGAGCCGAGCGCCTCAACCCCCAGGACATGCCATTCCAGATTTTTTATGTATTCCATTGTTTACGTTACACACTGATATCAAGTTAAAACAGAAAATATATAATTAACCTATATATATGTGCTCAAACATGCTAAAGATATGTAACATGAAAGATATATTTAATAATAAAATAAGTGATGTTGGACTTTTTATGTTTTCGTAAAAATGAAGTTTAATACAATAGCTTTTCATTGTTGCATAACTAATTTATACAACAATTACGTTTCATGAAAGTGAGTTTGATAGCATGGCATCTAAAACCACAATACTACGGCAAGTTGGTCAAATGTATACTACATTCAATCGAAGTGGTTTACTTTGTACATTAAACCGGTATTTGCTACCGTCGAAGTTTCACACGCTCTGTTTAGTTTACGTTTAGACAAAAGTACACCGATCATACTTTACACTTAGACGAAAAACACCAATCATAGTTTGCATTTAGACAAAAAACACCAATCATAGTTTACGTTTAGACAAAAGTACACCGATCATACTTTACACTTAGACGAAAAACACCAATCATAGTTCGCATTTAGACACAAAACACCAATCATAGTTTACGTTTAGACAAAAGTACACCGATCATACTTTACACTTAGACGAAAAACGCCAATCATAGTTTGCATTTAGACACAAAACACCAATCAGCTTACATTCTGACAAAAAAATCAATCATTATCGTCTTCTTGTGGCATTTTAGATATCAACTTCACCTGGTAACAAAGTAAGTCCAACAGAATGTTAGAAAAACAAATCAGAAACTATTTAAGTCTTCACTTGATCTTAAAACTAATGTAACTCTGTTTGCTTTTTATAACAGAAAATTCACGTTTATTTCTTGTTTGACTGATGCGTTTGCTTGTTTTAGAATTTTCGCGCAAAGCTACGGAATGGGTATCTGCGCGTAGCCGTCCGTAATTTTGAATTGAAAGACTTAGGAAAGAAAGCTATTCAATAGCACTCACCGACAACTCTTGTCTGACCAAATAATGGAATTTGACAGCCACTCTTACAGTACACCCACGGCCCCAAACTTCGTAGCGCGTTTTGTCGCAATGCACTCCAACCATACATCCTTATCCGGCCCACATTAAAGCAACTTACTTTTTTTAAGCTGAAGGAAGCTTTGAGTTTCAATTTGTCGAATGTGAAATTAAATAATTCAACCTATTGTTTTAAAATATATTCGGCATGTGTAGGTCTAAACATCCTATGCTGACCAACTAAACCAGTCCAGGTTAATAATAACACAGAACTGCGATGGTTTTATTGTTTTGAAATTTTTACAGGTTCTAGAGTAATTCCTGTATGCTGAATCCGAAAATGATACCCATTTTTCTCCATCACGAACAGATTTTTCACAAAACGTCATAGGTACTTTTACATAAGTGAACCATTTTCATTAAAATCGTGTCACATTTTGTTATGCTTAAAATGTTGACAACCACTTGCTATACATTCTTCTAGACTATTCGTGACGTGAGTCTTATCGATCGTTCTAGAACCCACGAGAAACAAACCGCTAGTATTAGGTCGTCAAGAAATTAATGTCGCGTTTTGGAACACTTTCATTAACCATCCCCCGATAAACGTACATCGCATATAATAGTTAAACGAACCGCCAAAACGTCACGTTAGTGTAGCCCATATAATGTGTAAAGTCTAGTATATTCTAATCCCTTATTGTGGTGGCACACGACGAGACACACATTCGGCATGTAATGATGTTTGAATACAAGAAGGGAAACAACGCTTTTGTAGCCACAAAGAATATCAAAGTTTATGGAAATGTTTTGAGCATTTGTAAGTGTCAACGATGGTTCAGCAAATTTCGTTCAGGTGACTTTAGCCTTAAAAACTGTGATGGCAGTGGCCGACATGTAGGAATTGATATTGATGCTCTGAAGACGCTTGTTGAGTTTAACCCAAGGAAACACACTCGTGAAATGGCCCTGAAATTGCATGTCTCTCATGAAACAATACTTATTGTTTGTTTGTTTGTTTGT